TGCTCCTCTTCTTGCTTTTGTGTCCAGTAGGCTGCGCCTACACTTCCTTGAGATTGAGATGAAGTCGATTTGGTTTTTGGTTTGCCCGTCTGGTGACACCCATGTAGCCTTGTGGATATCTTTGTGCTTGTACACACTGCCACCAATCACTAGTTCGTTGAAGGCGCAGAAGTCGGCGAAGAGTTCTCCGTTTTCATTCATTTCTCCGAGAGCTTCTCTACCCATGATGAGTTCCCTTCCCGTATTGTCTGGTCCCAGTTTGGCGTTCATGTCTCCCATAAGTATTTTCATGTCGCCAGTTGGAGTATTGTCCATTGTTGCCTGTAGTTGTCTGTAGAATTCTTCTTTCTTTTCGAGGTCTGCGTTGTTTGTGGGCGCATAACATTGTATGATTGACACTTTCCTTCCTTTGGAGTTGAATCTGGCGGTCATTATCCTGGACGATATCGCCTCCCATTGCATCAGGGTCTTTGTTGCCATTGGTGACATCATGATAGCCACGCTTTTGGTGTGCGTGTGGTTATCTTCTGGGTGACCGGAGTAGATCACTGACTCACCCGTTGACAATTTGGTGAGTCCATTCCTATTTCATCTGCTTTCACATATTCCCAGTACTTGAATTCCGTATCTTTTCATCTCGTTTGCGATCTGGGCAGCTTTGCCAGTCTCGTACATAATTCGGACGTTCCATGTCCCCACACAGACTTTTTCTTTTGGTGCAAAGAGGTTCATCGTACTGAAGTTTCTGTAGCAGTTTTTGTTTACAGGGTGGGGTTGCTAGCCTCACGCCTGAGAAAGGAATGATTACATTAAGATAAAGTTTAGAGAGAAATATAACGGACAAAACAATGAGAACAACACCAACAAAATGAAACAGTTCACAGAAAAAAGGGCAAAAAGCGACAACAACTATACAATACAACAACATGCAATATAGTTCAGCACAGTTAACTAAAATGACATCTCAACTATAAACTCACTGACTTGGAGCAACTTGAACATGTAAATCCAACGATGTATACAATTATAGATGTGTTTATGTTTAAAAATTCCACAAATCCAAATAGTCAGTTATATGTATTATCTGTCAATAAGATTGTATTCTTGGATTCAGTGTTCGAAAGGTAAATAATTGTGATAGTTTCCACAAACTCTTGGCATAAACTTTTACAGAAACGAGAGTTTTAGGTATTAATGAAATTAGGGTAGTAACAAAGGTGATGAGTTGTCACAAACAGTTGTTTAGAATAAGTTATGTAATAATATGAATAGTTTGGTGATTTAGTTTTACTCAGGATACATATAGGAACAAAGTAGAGAATACGAAAATACGTAAGAGTTCCAAATGACTATACGAGAATTATAAGCATTTAAAGAACAGACAAACAAACAAAATTAAGTCATCAAGATCAACAAAGTTGTTACCATGACAGTCTTAGTGGTTGAGTAATCTTCTTTTGTATGCAAAGCTCCGGTTTTTCTATGTGAATGGCCAGAGCTTCAGCGATACATAAACGAAACTGTAGTGCCTTTGATAGGTTATTCTTGACTCTGTAGATTACTTTGAAGCAGGCGTTTGTTGAAATGCAATGATCAGTGTTAACCAAGTTTTCAATTATTGCACTCCTTATTGCACCACTATTGCCTTTTCTCAACCATGCTGGCTGGATAGTGTTCTTGAATCGTCTTGGACAGGGTGCGCGTCGAACGACCGATGTACCTGGCTGGCTTCACAGCAGCAGGTAAACTGATATATGCACACAGAAGTGGTCAGATTCGGGATCTTGTCCTTTGGGCTTCTGCAGATCAGTGGGAGACTGGAGAACACTATACTTGGCGTTACTACAAAGAATGTTCTTCTCAGAGATGATATGATCCTTCTCTTGAGAATGTCGCTTGCTAAATCTCCCTCGAAATCCAGGTTCATCTAGAGTTTCTTTTTAGGCGCAACTAAAGTTTCGTTTCTCCGAATTCTAGGTTTGATACTTTTGTCAATTAATCTTATTGGGTATCCATTTTGGATGAAGATTTCTCTTAGAATATCTAATTCTGTTTCCAGAACGTTGGGACTACAGATGCGTTGGATGCGCATGTCAAGTGATTTTATTAAATTCCGCTTTTGTTAAATGGGTACCCAGTTATAGAAGCTTGTTCGTTGACTATTTCAAGTAGGTTTTCCATGAATCGACCTTCTTAGACTTCCATCAGTTCTTCTTGTTAGTTCCACAACAAGAAACGGAATTTTGTATCCTTAAATCAATTACTACACATGATCTTAGCTCAGAGAGCCGAGTGGTGATACTTAAATCAATTACACAACAAACCAATGAAACTGTATGTATGAATGTGAAATCCAGGTCCTTAAACGTGAACGGATGTAACCTTTTTTCGTTCTACTTTATTTCTATGTCTATTTTATTGTGACGTCATCATTCTTTTATGAGGTGTAATGCTATTGAACAGTGTGATAAATCATTATTCCTGTGTTACGAGCTTCATGTCAATCAACTAAATTACTCTTGTTCATTTCTCAGATGAGTGATTGATGTATGAGCCTTATTACGTCAATGAGAACAAAACACACAGCTCACCGAAGAGGCTCTTCTCAGCGCTGAATTCATTTCCTTCCTCTTTACCTGTACAATTGTATTCATGTACAATCTGCCTTCCTTGAAACAGAGTAATAACAAACAATAGTCACGGGTGTTAGTCAAGGCAAAAAAGAAATTGAATAAACGTATGATATAAGTATAAAACTTGGCCACTGTGGTGGTAGAGTATAACTCCATTATGGATAAGATTTTATTTTGATAAACTGTCACACAGTGTGTTACACAGTAATAATAATTGATGACCACCTTTCGAGCACAAATTATTACCACTCATAATCATATCAAGTCACTCACTCACACAACTTCCTTCCTTCATTTATATACATGAGTGGAAGTGATGATTAGACATTTGAATACAAAATCAATATAAGATAATTTACATTCAGAAATAATGATATGAGTGTTATTGATCGATTGTAATCAGATGGGAAATAAGACGAATGTTTTTATAGTCATTATAAGTTACTTGCTAGAATGTTCTAATGCATGTGAACTGAAATAGAATTTTCAGATTATTTATTATCGTCCTCCGATTTGACTGACTGACTGACTGACTGGCGATAATAATATCTTCCATGCATATCTCTTGTATTTGTATCGAGTCATTTCTGTTGCATGTGTTTTTTTTTGTGGTGTAGACTCACTGAACCAGGATTCAGTAATCAGTCTCTCTCCACCTACATAGATTACTTCTTAGAATCTTAACCCTCACCCACTATGCTATTGTGTGGTTGTGTGTTAATGCATGTAGTGCAGTTGCTGAGCTTTTATCTAAATTACTTATCTTCGCCGGTTCAATCATTCTAACCTTAGCCAATAAATCCTTATGTTCCGACAATCTGATTACCACCCACTCGATCTACTTGTAAGAGTTCTACTACGCCTTAGAGTGGACCTATACTCTAAACACCCTTACAAACTTCTTCACCGTTTTGGCGACCTACTAAGCTTAGCAGTACACTACTGGACGCGCAAATACTGACGAACTGTATCGTTGTAAAAAGACTTGATGTGACAAGAGTACCTGGGAGAATTATATTTTATTCGACGAAATATAAAATTCAATAAATAAAGAAGTCGTACAACTTATCTGCAGACGTTGCTGGAGGTAGGCTCGGAGAGTGTGCAGAAGGAGAGCACAACAAGAGAGCGAACCTATGAACGTAAGGAAGACTCACAAGTCAAAAGGTAAAACGTGGATCACCGTGGGTGAGTCAGTTTAAACAAAAGTTCAAAGGTACAATGTGCACTACAGGTTATCCCCCCCTAGAAGGTTGGTGGGAAACCAGCAAGCTTCGATATACAACAGTAGGATGGCTTGGCACAGTAGCAATGGGTGAATGAGAAGGTTTGAAAATAGCAATAGTAAAAAAAAGAAATTTCACCGAAAGGAAAGAAAGCAAAAGAAAAGAGAAAAAAATTAAGATAAGTTGGAAGTGGTATGTACATGATTAGTGAAGTAAGACGGAATATGATAAGAAATGGCGCTGGTGCCTTGTGTGGTTGTAAGCTTCTGCGGTCTGATGTTTTTTTTTTTTTTTTTTTTGTCTTTCATATTTTTATTAATCTTTTTTTTATTTATTTTTTTATTGTATCGATTCATTCTTTTTTTTTTAATTCCGCACTATTACAAGCTTACTTATGTGGAGGTTTGATGGTAAACCTCTGGCGCCGAGGCTGTCGTAGCAAGAAGGTGATTCATTATGTCTAACTTTCATATTAGACCAATGCTCCCTTCCTCCGCTTCAACAGAACCTAGCAGTCATGTTAAAGGCAATCATTATACCAGCGTATGATAAGGAGCAGGGTAAAAAAAAACAGAAGAAAATGGGAAAGAAAGGTTAAGATTTCAAAATCGGTGTAAAGGTACTACAAAAGCTTGTGCGAAATCAATGCGAGGAAAAGTGGTGCAACTTGGAAGTAGTACGTTAGAATGAGATAAAACAAAGGAAGTTTCTACCCTGTGAGAACTTATAAAATTACAGAGAAGTTAGTACATAACCCATAGCTATGAGTAGTTATCATTACCAAAATTACTTTGTTCATGTTGCTAAGTGCATAACTAAGATGATGCATAATGTTTATAAGTACGGTTCACAAAATAAATGAATTGCGGGAGGGCATAAACCCGAAGGAATATAGTACAGGCTGTGAAAATAAATTGAGCGAATTACTATGTACAGCATAGAAGTGAAGCATTTATGCGCAAAAAAAAATATGTATATCTGTACATTTAACTATACAGTGGAAGTTTTTTTTTGTTTTTTTTTATAATCTTTTTTTTATTTAAAAATAATTTTTTTTTGTTTATTTATTATTATTTTACATTTTTTTTAAAATATATTTTATAAAATTTTTTTTTTTACATAATAATTAAATTTTTTTTTTGGAAAGGTAATATACTATTCATAATTCCTCTTTTGGTGTGGGTTACAAGATGACATGAGACGCCAACTGATCTAGCGAGTAGATTGATATGAAAAATTAGGGGTAAAAACAAACTGCTGCTGGTCCTCTGTAACGAGAGATAAAGATTAAAAGGATTAGTGAGGGTTAAAACGACTACTCCCAGAAGCGGGACCAAATAGATTAAATATAGCAGAATTGAATAAGAAATTGTGACAAGGAATAAAAAATCACTAGTAGCCTTACCTATGGATTAGTTCAGTGAAAGAATTCTACGAACCTCTTGGGCCAGTGAACACGTCGACCAGCACGTGTGACAGGGGTCTTACTGGTGACGGTAGGAGAATCATCATTCACCACCGGAGGTGAAGTAGTTGAGTCTGGACAAGGACTAGGTTCAGTGGGGCTATTTGATTGAGCCGATGGGGAGGGTGAAGGTTCTTCAGTGTATGCCGCTTTAAGTCTGTCTATGCTGACAGTGTCTGGGCGGCCGCATCGGTCAATAACGAAAAATTTATCTTTACGACTAAGGACCTTAAAAGGCCCGTCATACGGTGGTTGTAATGGCTTTCGTATGGCGTCGTGACGCACGAAAACGTGTGTACAGTCATCAAGTCGCCGATCAACCTGAACCTTTCGGTTCTGAGCGCGTGTGGAAACTGGTCGGAGTCGCTGCATAAAACTTTTAAGTTGCTGAGCGTAACGGGTGGTATCCGGGAAATTTGGCTCGAAAGTTTCGGGAGCGATTAGCTCGCCTGGTAAACGCATGGTGGTACCGTACACCAATTCAGCTGGCGAGCACTGCAGATCCCCCTTAAGCGTAGCCCGGATGCTAAGCAGGACCAGTGGTAGCGAATCTGTCCACTTACTGTTGTCCACTGCCATCAACGCAGCTTTGAGTTGACGGTGGAAACGTTCTACTAGGCCATTTGCCGCGGGATGATACGCGGTTGTGCGAATGCGTTTGCATCCCAGCATCTCTAACAATTCTTTGAAGCTTGTGGATTCAAACTGTTGTCCGCGGTCGGTAGTGACAGTTGCGGGACATCCAAAATGGGCAACCCAGCCATCCATGAAGGCACGACAGACGGTTTGAGCCGTTACATCAGGTATCGGAATGGCTTCCGGCCAACGTGTGAAACGATCCACACATGTGAGTAAATACGAGCAGCCGTTAGACGGGGGCAGAGGCCCTACTATATCCAGGTGGATATGATGGAACCGAGCGTCTGGGGTCGCAAACGTCCCCAACGGCGTGATGTTATGCTTGGTGACTTTAGCACGTTGGCATTGCACACAAGCACGTGTCCATTGACGCACATCACGGTTCATACCGGGCCACGCAAATCTCGCAGAAATCAACTTGTCCGTTGCTCGTATGCCAGGATGGGAGAGGTTGTGGAGTGACTCAAACACAGTTCGGCGTAAAGACGTGGGAACAATCGGTCGAGGAGTACCAGTTGACATATCGCAAAGTATAGTTGCCTCACTGTTTAGCAAGGGGACGCGTTCTATTTTCAGTGAGGTTTTATTTGACAGGTGTTCTAAGTTCAAATCGTTCAGTTGGAGTTCGGCCATTTTATGAAGATCGATGGTTGGTGGTACGGACGTAGCACATACGCGAGACAAAGCGTCTGCTACCGCGTTATCCGATCCAGAAACGTGCTGGATATCAGAAGTGAACTGGGAAATATAGTCTAAATGGCGTGATTCTCGCGGTGAATACCGGTCTGAAGTAGTGTGGAGGGCGTACGTCAATGGCTTATGGTCGGTAAATACCGTAAATTGCCGGCCTTCCACGAAGTGACGAAAATGCTTGACAGCAGCGTAGACAGCGAGAAGTTCCCTACCGAATGTGCTGTATCGAGATTCGCATGCGGTAAGTTTACGTGAAAAGAAAGCAATCGGTAGCCATACATTAGCCATACGCTGTTGAAGGACGGCTCCGATCGCAGTATTAGAGGCATCTACGGAGATGCTGATTGGAAGTTGAACATCTAGATGGACCAACATTGTGGCGTCAGCAATAGCTTTCTTGATAGCTGCAAAAGCTGTCGAGGCTTCCTTAGTGAACACCAAAGACTTGCATTTCCCTTTAAGCATGTCAGTCAAGGGGGTCACGATATGAGCACACTGTGGGATAAAGCGACGGTAGTAACTAACCATCCCGAGAAAGGTGCGTAGTGCCTTGGGAGAAGTGGGTAGAGGGAAGTTTTGAATAGCTTCTACCCGGTCAGGTAACGGATAAATTCCATCTTTGTCTATCCTATGTCCCAAAAATTTCAGGGAAGTGGCTCCAATCTGACACTTCGGCAAGTTGAGTGTGAGGGAGTGTGTCACAAGTCTTTGGAAAACTGTCTGCAAATGAAGTTGATGAGTGGCTTCATCTGGACTAGCTACCAAGATATCGTCCAGATAGGCGAAGGCGAAATCAAGCCCGCGCAAAACGTCATGTATAAAACGCTGGAAGGTTTGTGCAGCGTTCCGTAAGCCAAAAGGCATTCGAAGAAACTCGAACAGGCCAAACGGTGTAATCACAGCAGTCTTAGGTATATCTTCGGGGTCGACGGGAATCTGGTAGTAAGCCCGTGTAAGGTCCAGTTTGCTGAATACTCGAGCTCCCTTGAGTGAGGCGGTTAAATCGTGTATGTGCGGGACAGGGTAGCGATCGGGAACAGTTTGTGCGTTTAGTCTGCGGTAGTCGCCACAAGGACGCCAATCTAAACCGTTATTCTTAGGTACCAGGTGCAACGGTGAGGACCACGGGCTGCTGGATGGCCTAATAATCCCCATTTCCAGCATATGCTCAAACTCCGCTTTGACAACCTTTAGTTTTTCTGGGGATAGTCGCCTCGGCTTTGCGAAAACTGGCGGGCCAGTAGTGACAATATGGTGTTTGACGTTGGAAGTCGCACATGGCAGGCCGCTGCTAGGTTTGAACAAATCTGAAAAAGACTGCAGTATATGCGAATAAGGACCAGTGCTAGTGGGTGTGGCATATACCGGGCTGAGGGCTGGGCCTTGTGTGACAATACCGCTGACGGAGAGGTTTGTGACAGGATCTTTTAACTTATGATTACCTGTATCTACCAGTAATTGGTAGTGCTGCAATAGATCCATGCCAATTATACCTGTGGTAACGTCTGCCACCAGGAAGACCCAACGAAGTGAACGACGCAAACCGATGTTAAGATCTATAAAGCGCCTGCCGAACGTAGCAATTGGCGAACCGTTTGCGGCTCGTAGTTGAAGAGACATTGGCCGCCTGCGCTCCTCTACTGTGGGTGGGATTACACTGACCTCTGCTCCGGTATCAATTAGGAAGCGTATCCCAGTGTTACGGTCGGTAACATAGAAGAGGCGACATGAGAGTGGTTCGCCAGCGACGTTAGTCGCCAGTACGTGCTGGCTTGCTAGTTTCCCGACTGTTGAACATCGAAGGTGCACGGGCGAGTGCACTTTTGGGCTTTTGCTCCGTAACGTCGATGATACCAGCACACTCCAGGCTGGTTACTTCGGGACTGTCGGCGCTTGCTGCTAGCACGTGGCAAGGGTCTGCTACTGCGCGAACTTGAGGGACTGCGTCCACGACTCCTGGAGTTCATCTCCTGTCGGATACTACAGATCTCCTCGTATAGCTTGGCAATATGGGCCACCACGTCAAAGCTTGATGACCCCCCATCAGCCATCTTGCACACAGGACACAGTATTAACAAGGTGATAAAAAAAACAATATAAGTACAAAGAAAACAAATCAAATCTTTATATCCGTGCGTGAAAAAGAAAAAAAATAACAAAATAAACGATACGTAAAGAGAATTGTTAACACGTTAAGCTATGGCGGAAAACGGTGAAAACGGGCTCACCACTTGTAAGAGTTCTACTACGGCTTAGAGTGGACCTATACTCTAAACACCCTTACAAACTTCTTCACCGTTTTGGCGACCTACTAAGCTTAGCAGTACACTACTGGACGCGCAAATACTGACGAACTGTATCGTTGTAAAAAGACTTGATGTGACAAGAGTACCTGGGAGAATTATATTTTATTCGACGAAATATAAAATTCAATAAATAAAGAAGTCGTACAACTTATCTGCAGACGTTGCTGGAGGTAGGCTCGGAGAGTGTGCAGAAGGAGAGCACAACAAGAGAGCGAACCTATGAACGTAAGGAAGACTCACAAGTCAAAAGGTAAAACGTGGATCACCGTGGGTGAGTCAGTTTAAACAAAAGTTCAAAGGTACAATGTGCACTACATACTAGTTTGACCTCTATAGTTGACTTAACTCATTGTCATTGCAAGGTATTTTATGAATGGATATTATTTTGTCTTTTGACCTAAAGAGCTTGTCCCTGAGTGAGTTTGTAGCCTTGAATGCCACCACTGTGATTCCTGCTTTATTAAGAATGCCACCGCGTAGGGGCTTGTGTCAGATGTCCCCTCCTTATATGGTATAACAGTGGATGACTTATATTCTCTCTTACTTATGTTATCATTACTAGTTTCAGAATTATTCTTAATTTGCTTATGGTATTTTTCGATCTTTCTAATCAATTTTTATAGGATAGTTAGTTATTCAACATCAAAGCCTCTTTTGTCTGTTTTCTTTCATCGTTTAGGCCTTTTCTTGTGCTACTTAGTGCTTAGTACTTGTAAGACACTTAACCAAGCTGGCCTTCACAGACAGTTAACGGATGAGATGAATTAAAGTGTAAATATCTATTGGCAGAATGCGTTGGTTTTTTATAAACACTAGTGTGCAGTTTACCTTCTTCTATTCGTATGATAGTTACGTAATAAGATGAACAGTTTAATGAGTGACTTGTGATCAGGATATGAACAAAGAAACGAAGGAAAATATGAAATTACGTTAGAGTTGTAAAAATTGCAAATATTATGAGTTAGAAAAAGCAAAACAACAGGTACGCAAACATCAAGCCAGTAGAAGTCAACACGGTTGTTACTATGATAGTAGAAGTGGTATTTGCAACCGAATGGCTAAGGCTTCAGAAATACAACGGAGACGAAAGCGTATTGTATTCGGCAGGCTGCTCTTCGCTTCGTAGATCACTTTGACGGAGGCGTTTGTTGAGAAGGAATGACCAGTGTTGACAAGATATTCAACTATCGCACTTCTTATACAGCCACTATTACCTTTTTGCAGCTGCTCGGGATAGCGTTCTCGAACACTTCCAGACAGGATACGGGTCGAATAACCAGTCTATCTGGCTCCAAAGCAACAGGTGAACTGATATATGCATATAGAAGTGGTCAGATGCGAGATCTTATCCTTCAGACCAACGGACGGTTAGAGGATACTACTCTTAGCGCTGCTGAGAAGGATGTTCTCCTCAACGATGATGAAATTCTTCTCTTAAGTATAATGCAGGTTAAGTCTATCTTGAAACCCAAAAGGTGAGATTCGATATTCCTGTCAATGAATCTTAGTGGGTATCCAATTTGGATGATGGTTTCCTTCAGAAGATATAGTTCTGCTTCCAGGGCGTCAGGATTACAGAAGCGTCGGATCCGAGTGGCAAGTAATTTGTTTAGATTTCGATTTAGTTCAACAGGCACTGACCCAACTGTAGATATTTGTTAGCTGACCAGCTCAAGTGGGTGTTCTGTGGACGCTGATCTTTTTAAAATTCTGTCAGGTCATCTTTTCTTTTGAAGATTGGACTTTATTGCCGGATGGCAGCTGTTAAATACCTGTAAGAATTGATTGGGGTCAGAACTATTATTCACCTTATTACGTAACTTGAATACATTGGCTAATATTAACGACTATGTTTATGCCAACTCACCACCCTGTTTCATGAAAAATTTTCAATATAAATTACGACTGTACAGCAAAAGAGGAAGAAAATGAATTTCCCGAATATAGAGTCTTTTCGCTGAACTACGTGTTTTGTTCTAATTATTGTCTGGATGGGGATTATTTCGTTAAGAAAACAAAGAAAAATGAAGAGTTTCACTAGTTGTAAGATCAATTCTATTCCCATCCTTGAATCAAGTCACCCTGTCCCGGATCAGCCTAGCGTTGTTGCAACCCAATTATCCATGCCTAACGTGTCTATCCCTGCTTGTTTAATGAACTGTGTGTATGTGTTTTTACCTCGATCGTTAGTCAGACAGTTGAACTCATGACCCAATCGAGCAATGTCTTGATTGCGTAAGGTTGTTTGCGACTACCCAACCGCTGATTGAGGACCCAATGCGCCTCGGGAACATCGCATCCTATGAGTATTGTGACCCTTTTATCATCAAGTTCGCGGAATGGCAATTCCTGGAGATGTGGCCAGTGACGGGCCTCTTGTGATATCGATAGTGAGGGTGCATTGACTGGCAGGGATGGCAACGCTAACACTCTGTCAAGTCTTATCATTTCATTTTCATCCATTGATGCGACTTCCAGTTCGCACATGATGCCCTGAACCTGACTCGCACTATTGATTGTTGTCATGGTCATAGATGATGGTATGCCCTCTAGGCCTAAGCTGCTCAACAGATCCTTCGTAACTAAGGTAACGTTGGAGCCGTTATCCAGAAAGGCATAAGTATCTATTTCCTTACCGTGGGCCCGCACCTTGATCGGGATCACACCTAGCATAACTGCCGTTCCATAATGCATAGTAGCAGCACATGTCGCCTGCTCTGTCACTTGGTTTACGATCGGTTCAACTTGTAGCGGTGGGTGATGTTTACCACTGCGATGAGCTTTGGAACACTTTATACCCGATACGCAATGATCGATACGATGTCCGACCTCTAAGCACAAAAAGCATGCTCTATGGCGGCGGATGCAGCTCCATCTGTATGGCACATCTAATCCAACGTACTTCTGATATGAAGCAGTAGCATAGTCAGACCTACAGAGGATACACAGTCGCTTGGATGCAGGAGTGCTTTCTCCCTGTATTGGGAATAATGTGCCCCCATGACGACCCTGTCTATTTAGTGAAACTTGGGCGTTCGGGCGGTTAAAGCCCTCTGAAACGAGGTGTCCGTATCGGCTTCGTGCCACTCTTGCCTCTATAGAAACAAACTGGCAAAGATCCTGAAAAGATGGCTCTTGCCCTTCTTGATTCCTTGCGTCTGCTAGTCTGGCCCAATTCCTTCGAACTGCTATCGGCAGTATGCGTACTATTCTCTCGAGAGTCGTTACGGAATTTAAGTCCGACAAATAGTTCATTTCAGTTAGGGCAATCAGGCAATTCTGAAGCTGTATTGATAGATGGGATAGAGCTTCTCCATCTTCTGCCACAGATCGTAAGCTTC